ATGCATGTGGCACTGTATTGAGGATGTTTACAGTGAAATGACTTGTGCTAGGCCTTAATGGGGGGGTAAAATGTGGGGAAATATTTACTTATGTGTAGCATTTATTTTGGTATATAGCAAATGTCTACTAATAAGTACTTTATATAGTCAGCCCTGCTTATCCATGGGTTCCACATTCCTGGATTCAACCAACTGTGGATGGAAAGTGTTAAAAAAAATTACAAAAATAAGAATGATAGACATAAAAAGCAATGTAGTTGAATAACTAGTTATTCAACTGTTTACATTGTAAATAGCACTGACATTGTATTAGGTATCATAAGTGATCTAGTGATAAAGCATACAGAGGTTGTGTGCAGGTTATGTGCAAATAGTATGCTGTTTTATATCAAGGACTTGAACATCCGTAGATTTTGGGGGTCCTGGAAACAATATCACGGCAGATATCAAGGGATGACTGTATACACACCACTCGCCTTAGTCTGGTGCTGTGCATTTCCTGTAATCTCGTTACCTTAAAGAATGGTGCTCTTACTCTTGTTTTAGCCATGTGAAAACGTGCTCAGTGAGGCTAAAGAATTTGCCCAGGCCACTCACGTAATAAATGGCAGAATAAACATTCATATCCAGGTCCACTTAAAATCCCTTATTCTTGAACCCATATGAAAGAAATTAATGTGGAAAATACCTTCCATGTTGTAACGCACTGCAAGCCGAAGTGGGACCAGGGAATCCGAAGTGACACTGCCATCTGGCCTTTTTGGTATAGCACCTGGGGTCTTTTATCTTGGCTACATCTGTTCCCCCGAAACCCTTGACTGTACTTCTAGTCTAATTCTAGAAATATAGTTCCTGAAGTAAAGATATTGAGGAATGGGTATCTGCTGTTCTTTCCTGGTTCTATAAAGCTAATTCCCATATAAACTACATCTAATAGTAGCATCGTTGGTTACATGAGGTGAGGCAAGAACAGAGGCACATTCCAACTTAACATCTTAATCTAAGAGCATCAAATTACTACCTGTGGTCCCGGGAATTATACACCAGTTTCCACCACCACTGAACGTTCTTTTTCCTTCTTCAGTTCCCTCTTGCCGCTACTCAGATAATGGAAAAGTGATAAAAAGTTGGTAAAAGTCGTAAGATTTTCTATAGGGTCTTCTGTCAAGTCAGGCATTAAAAATTTGTCTTACATTGATGAAAAAAATATATGCGACGCTTAAACTCCACATCTTCTAAGAAATAAAAGAAATACCTAAAAGAAGTGAAAGACCATGCTAGCATTTTTTTTAAATCTTGAATCTATCCTATAGTGTTCAGAAACTTTTCTGAATAATGGATGGATCTACTCATGGAAATTGTGTTTCTAGTGGTAAAATTGAGTTTTAGGATGACTACATTTTTGGGAGGCTGAGGCAGGAGGCTTACGAGAGGCCAGGAGTTTGAGACCAGCCTGGGCAACATAGCAACACCTTGTCTCTACAAAACTTAAAAAAATAAAATGAAATGTAAAAACTTTAAAATATTTTTAAGATTACATCTCACTAAAAAGGGCACCATTATTTAGTGCTGGGTACAGTATAAAACAGCAAGGCCCATTTGGTCAGTAGTTTGGAATAGAATTTTAAAAAGTCTTAATAACTCATGGCTGACACATGCTACATCTGGGACTCCACGCTAAGGAAATAACTCTAAATAGAGGCTTTTTGTACAAAGTTTTTTCAAAGCAGAATATTTCTCATATTTAATAATATGAACCATTAAATATCAAAAAATGGTGAATGGTTGAGGTGGTCTTTTAGTCTGTTTGTTTGTTTGTTTTTGAGATGGAGTCTCACTGTCACCCAGGCTAGAGCACAGTGGTGCAGTGATCTTGGCCCACTGCAGCCTCTGCTTCCTGGATTCAAGCGATTCTCCTGTCTCAGCCTCCCAAGTAGCTGGGATTACAGGCATGCACCACTGTGCCCAGCTAATTTTTGTATTTTTGTAGCAATGCGGTTTCACCATGTTGGCCAGGCTGGTTTTGAACTCTTGACCTCAGGTCATCTGCCCACCTCATGTTCCCCAAATGCTGGGATTATAGGCATGAACCACTGCGTCTGGCCAAGGTAGTTTAAAAATATATTTTAAAAAGTATATCGTGTGTGTGTGTGTGTGTGTGCGTGTGTGTGTGTGTGTGTTTAAGAGATGAGGTCTCACTTTGTTGCCCAGGCTGGTCTCAAACTCCTGGGCTCAAGTGATGCTCCCATCATGCCCTCCCAAAGTGTTGGGATTTACTGGCATGGACCATGGGACCTGGCCTTTAAAAAAAATACAGAATTTTTTTATGTTTAATATTGTATGAAATGCCATATATTATGATTGTAGCTCTGGAAGAAAATTTTACACATTTAAGAAAATTCCTAGAATAAAATGGGAACATCATACTAGCAAGGATTGTGCTTCAGTGGTGCCCCTGTAGGTACCTCTAAAGTGTATTTTTAATTCCCATACTTCAACACAAGAAGCAGCACCCCTTGCATCATTAAAAATTGCAGTAGATGTCGTTCAAGACCAGCCTAGCCAATATGGTGAAACCCCATCTGTACTAAAAATACAAAAATTAGCCAAGCATTGTGGTGGGCACCAGTTCTCCCAGCTACTCAGAAGGCTGGGGCAGAAGAATCCCTTGAATCCAGGAGGCAGAGGTTGCGGTGAGCTGGGATCATGCCATTGCACTCCAGCCTAGGTGTCGCAGTGAGACTCAGTCCCCAAAAAATACACAGATATATATATACACACATATATATTAATAATATGTAACAACATCCACTATATAATTGTAAAAAAAAATTTGCAGTTCCTTGCAGCAATGAATAAGAGTTGCTATATATATATATGCACGGTGGATGTTGCCAGGTGCGGTGGCTCACGCCTGTAGTCCCAGCACTTTGGGAGGCCGAGGCAGGCAGATCACCTGAGGTTCAAGAACAGTCTGTCCAACATGATGAAACCCCATCTCTACTAAAAATACAAAAGTTAGCTGGGCATGGTGCTGCCCACCTGTAATCCCAGCTACTCAGGAGGCTGAGGCAGGAGAATCGCTTGAGGCAGAGTTTGCTGTGAGCCAAGATGGTGCCACTGCACTGCATCTTGGGTGACAGAGTGAGACTCTTTCTAAAAAAAAAAAAAAAAAATTAAAAAAAAAATATATACCCATGTATGTGTGTGTAGTGGATGTCAAGAACTGGCTTCCAAACATTTAAATCCACCTCATGTCTTTTGTGCCTGTATCCAGAACTTGGTCCTCCTTTCCCAGGCTGCAGATTGTCACTAGATCTTAGTAACATCAGGGCTCTTAACTCAAGTCTTCCACCCAGACAACAGTCAGGTAGAACAAATTAACTTTGGAAAATTTGGATATGAACATGGGTTCTGCCTACTCCAACTCCCCCTCGTCTTCTCTGGCAAGTCCTGGTAAAGAGCTCACTGAGTAGGGAGAAACTGCTCCGTGCTCAGTTTTTAAAAGAGTAGGTTAAAAAGAACATTACATGAAAAGCTATGTCACTTTGTATATGTCATGTATATAAGAAATATATAGAAGAGGCCAGGCACCATGGCTAGTACCTGTAAATCCCAACACTTTGGGAGGCTGGGGCGATCCCTTAGATCACCTAAGGTCAGGAGTTCGAGACCAGCCTGGCCAACTCAGTGAAAGCCTGTCTCTACTCAGAATACAAAAAATTACCTGGGCACGGTGGCTTACGCCTGTAATCCCAGCTACTCGGCAGACTGAGGCAGAAGAACCACTTGAACTCAGAAAGAGGAGGTTGCAGTGAGCTGAGACTGTACCACTGAACTCCAGCCTGGGCTACAGAGTGAGACGCTGTCAAACAAACAAACAGGAAACATATAGAAGCAATTAACTTGCCCATAAGCGGAAAGAAACACAATATTAGAACAGTACCATTTTCACCATTTATGAGCTTACCTGTTTTTCCATCTTGTGGATAAATAGGTATTGGCTAAAGAGAGAACAAATGCTTATCCGCACATTCTTTTTGTTTGGTTTGGCTTTTTCTTTTTTTTTTTTTTTTTTTTTTAAGACAGGGACTCGCTTTGTCCCCAGGCTGGAGCGCAGCCACATGATCACAGCTCACTGCAGCCTAGACCTCCTGGGCTTAAGTGATCCTCTTGCCTTAGTCTCCCAAGTAGTTGGGACTATAGGTGCCTGCCACCACACCTAGTTAATTTTTGGTTTTGATTTTTAGTGAGAAGAGGTCTTGCTACGTTGCCCAGGCTGATCTTGAACTCCCAGGCTCAAGCAATACTCATGTCTTGGCCTCACAAAGTGCTGAGATTACAGGTGTGAGCCACCACTCCCAGCTCTTTATCTGTAAAATTTCAAAGCATCAAATGAGGAAAGGGAGCTTAATTAATATCATCTTTAGTAGTTGAACAAACTCAAGGAGGAGAAATGATAGAAGAAAAGGTCATTGATTTCATAATTCCCTGCAGCCATGAATAAGAGTTGCTACAGCTGTAGCATATATTCCCTGGTTCATTTTTCATTCAAAAGATTGTACCTTGTGGAATTATGTCATTAATAATCAATGAATTAAAGTAGATGTTTGGAGTAGTGAGGCAGTTACTTCCTCTCCACTGAAACCAAAGAACTGGGCGTTTTATTCATGTTTGCGTTTTCTCATTTACAATTGCTGCAAGCTCCCGTGCTGAAAACATGTGTTTCCGTGACTCATCTTCACCTTCATTACTTGTAGCGCTTTCAAAGAGAACAATGGCTTTTTTCTAGTTCAGAAATGGGTGTTATGTAGCTCAGAGCTGGGAGGTTTCACGTGTTGGAAATACGAACAAGCTGTTGTATGATGAAGAACCAATTCGGAGGGGAAACCCACAATGGTTACAGTAGTTCTTCAGTGTATCTTTGTATTTGCGGGGGGAAAAGGAGGGACACTGTCGTTTTGCTCTTAATTTTCTCCCTTTTCCTTTTTCCACTTTAGACAAAGCCCGTTGCATTTGCGGTTCGGACAAATGTCAGCTACAGCGCAGCCCATGAAGATGACGTGCCGGTGCCTGGCATGGCCATTTCCTTTGAAGCAAAAGATTTTCTGCATGTTAAGGAAGTAAGGAAAATAATTTCTTTTTCTATCAGCATGATGTTTCACCTTGACATACCATTTCTTATTTCCTATTCACATGCCACTTCTGTGAAGTAGCATTGCACATTGCTGCGGTTGTGTGACATACATGCTAAATCAATGGCTCTCAACCTCCACTCATATAAATATACCTTTTAAAGTGGAAAGAAGTCACAGGCCTCTTGCAATAACTTCAGTGCTCCCCGGGGCTCTGTGGCCCAGAAATCGGGAACTGCTAGAGTAGATGATTCTTTTTGATGCTTAACTTCTACTTCTTCTGGTGTTTCACCTTGACTAGGTGCAGTTTTTCCTGATGCCTGGATTTTAGTCATCTGGGGAGGGTTTACTAATAGTATCTAGAAATCATGACTCTTCTCTCTGCTGTCAGTGTCTAAATTCAAACCACCGATGCCCTAAATGCTAAATTTCTGCAGTGGATGAGAGAATGCTAAGAATTGAGGCCAATGAGGCAGCAAAGAGATACCACGAAAAGTCCTTTTCCTAAACACTAAATGTCTCCACCTCTTAGTAAGCAATGACACAACCTGCAAATTGGAAACATTCATCCTTAATTAAGGTTTGTTTGGAGTCAGCATTTATCAAATGCCTGCTTTGTGAAGCACTGTGTTAACTGACCAGAAATTTCCCCTGTAGAATATTCTATGTATATGAGCCTGAGGTTTTTCTTGGACCTGGAGGAATTATACTTGGAGCCCTTCCGTCTAATGGATAATATGTCATAGGGAGCATGTGTAAATTTAACTCTTCACTGCACTGAAGGGTGTCAGCAAAGAAGGTGATGATGGCTGCCAATTAAAAGAACCTAGAAGACTGGGTCCTAGGGCTCCTGCCTGTAATCCAGGCATTTTGGGAGGCCGAGGAAGGCAAATCTCTTGAGCCCAGGAGTTTGAGACCAGCCTGGGCAACAGGGTAAAATACTATCTCTACCAAAAAAAAAAAAAAGAGAAAAAAATTAGCTGGGCGTGGCGGCACACACCAGTAGTCCCAGCTACTCAGGAGGCTGAGGTCAGTGGATTGATTGATTGAGCCTGGGAGTTCAGGACAGGAGTGAGCTGGGATCATGTCACTGCACTCCAGCCTGGGCAACAAAGCGAGACCCTATCTCAATTAAAAATGAAAGAGCCTAAAGAATTTAGAGCCTACCTTTTTGGTAACCTCTGAAAAGAGATGTCAAATACTGGCTAAGTGAGAACAATAGAAAAAGTTACCAGAAGTGATGGTGTGCCTAGAATCTCACTTTACAACAGAAAGTTAAATTACTACGGGGTGTCTTCCTGATGTTAGTGCTGAAAGGGGGATCTTTCTGCCATGAAAGGAAATGAAAAACAGAATGTATATTCTTCTTTGATGTGTTCAAGGACAGATTTATTCAGTCAAGGAAAATGAAGGCAAATCATAAAGATTTCAGATACATATTCCAGCTGCAAGAGACAAGTTGTCAACATCACACAAGTAGAGAAATCCCCTGTGAACATCGCACTGTGTAATTATAAAACTGTTTGCACAAAGGTAAATTGTCCTGTGACACAAAATATTTAAGGGAGATTTCAATATTTATCTCTTTCTCTCCATATTTCCAATTGTCTGATTACATAAGGGAAAGATTTCTGTAACACCACTTCTTAAAGGTCTCTTGGTAGGATGGGCTATTGTTCTTTGGACCCAGAGAGTTTATTCCTACTCATGGTGACAGCAGCTGCTGCAACGGAATTCAGCCTGGTCCTATGGCAGCACCAGGACAGGCAAGGAATGCAGAGCCTTTGATAGATTACTGAGGACACTAAAAGCATTTCTTACATGCAAAACCCATGAAATGAAGCGTTTCTTGAATGATAATATTTGAGGCATAGTTCATTGTCACTGCCACATTTCTCTCCAGTGAAAATAGTTGGTGTGGAAGAACAAGGAGTTGACCTTCTGTGTGCTGATTTTTAATGCTTTTGATTTTGTGTTTAGAAATTTAACAATGACTGGTGGATAGGGCGTTTGGTCAAAGAAGGCTGTGAAATCGGATTCATTCCAAGCCCAGTCAAACTAGAAAACATGAGGCTGCAGCATGAACAGAGAGCCAAGCAAGGGAAATTCTACTCCAGGTATGAGACAGATGTCAAGTGTTTGCATAAAAGTTAGATTATACCACGATTTGTGTGCTGTTGTCTGCAGTATTTGATATCCTTTATTATGTATTAACGAGGAGGCAGGTGATAAGATTTTCTGATAGCATCACAAATCTTGCATTTTCCTGCCTTTAAAAAACTTCAGTCCAGCACCTGATTTTCATTCTATTTGGGAAAGTGTTAAGTTGTTATCATTAATGAAAAGAGCGAAGCTCATAGAGTATTAAATTCAGGCTCCAGTGTAGAGGAAATTATGAAATCTTAATCATTGACTGAAAAATAGTCTGGTACAGAATAGCCCTGGTGACTAATCCCAGTGTCTGTAGCTGCCTGGTATGGCTGGGAGGTGTCTGAGAGATGACAGTCTCAGACATCATCAGGAAATGGCAGCTCTTGTCATCTGTTAGTTTCATTTTCACCTGAGAAACTCAATTTTTAGTTCTACCCACTGTTAAGCACTTAAAGAGAAGCTAAGTATGAAACCAGTTAAAACTGCCTGTGCAGATGGCAATTAGATGAGTTATGTAAGAAGCTGTGGCTGAATAATCCCTCCTAGGATTCGTGAGGTTGTCTGCCCATCTCTAAAAGCATCACTAGAAAGGCTTCTCGTACATGTACTGAATTTTACACGGAGTCCTATGCAGACAGGTCTACGGATGCAGCAGGCCTGTCTCTATGTCAAAGGGACGTAGGCAAGACGTTTCTTAAATGTGAATCGCTGGATTTCTGTTTTCTCTCTCTTACATCTTATTTGTTTATGTAAGATGCAAATTCCTTTGTCGGTGATAACACTTTAATGTCAGCAAGAATTTTTTTCAAGCATCAGCAGATGAGTGAAACAGAATATGCTTTGTGGTTTGGAGCACCCATCCTCATTAACTGGTTTTTTATAATTGTCAAGTTCATTTAATTCAGATCGATTCCTCTGTGTTTTGAGACCTCCACCCCACAATTGACTTAAATTAATTCCTGGGTTATTGAGAGCACTCAGATGGTGAGATACATTCAGTCATATAAGTAGAGGCATGCATAAAAAAAGAGCAAGATTGGCCAGGCACGGTGGCTCACACCGGCAATCCCAGCACTTTGGGAGGCCAAGGCAGATGGATCAATGAGGTCAGGAGTTCAAGACCAGGCTGGCCAGCATGGTGAAACCCCATCTCTGCTAAAAATATAAAAATTAGCCCGGCGTGGTGGCAGACGCCTTTCATCCAAGCTACTCGGGAGGCTGAGGCAGGAGAATTGCTTAAACTCAGGAGGCGGAGGTTGCAGTGAGCCAAGATCGGGCTACTGCAGTCTAGCCTGGGTGACAGAGTGAGCCTCCATCTCAAAAAAAAGAAAGAATAAGATCATGTCCTTTGCAGCAACTTGGATGGAGCTGGAGGCCATTATCCCAAACAAACACACTCAGGAATAGAAAACCAAATATTGTATGTTCTCACTTATAAGTGAGAGGTAACACTGAGAACGTGTAGACACCAAGAAGGGAACGTTAACACTGAGGACTCCTGGAGGGCGGAGGATGGGAGGAGGGTGAGGATCAGCAAAACCACCTCTTGGATGTTATGTTCATTATCTGGGTGACAAAATAATCTGTACACCAAACCCCTGTGACACGCAATTTGCCTATGTCACAAACCTGTACATGTACCCCTGAACCTAAAAGTAAAAAAAAAAAAAAAAAAAAGGAAAAGTTTCCTGTAAAAATAAGCCTCTTAGAATTAAAATACTTTACTCTGAATTAAGTTATCATTAGCAGCAGTAAATTATTCATTAGGCCAACATATATAATGCATATGTTGATATGCAATATTAAATATTAAAGTAAACTTTTGTTGAAAATACATTTCTTAATGAGAAATAAAAGTAGAGGCATGTAAAATAAACAATGCATGTACATTTTGCCTGCAGGGTGTTTGAAGATCCCATACTGTTCTTTCAATCTTTAGTGTTCCATTGGCCTTATTTTGTGTTTTTCTACCCTCTGTATTGAAAATTGTGTCATAATAGTGTTTAATAAAACCTTATGGCTAGTGATTCAGGCTTGTAATCCCAGCACTTTGGGAGGCCAAGGCAGGCAGATTACTTGAGGCCAGGAGTTTGAGACCAGCCTGGCCAACATGGTGAAACCCTGTCTCTACTAAAAAAAAAAAATACAAAAATTAGCCGGGAATTGTGGCACATGCATCTAATCTCAGCTACTCGGAGGCTGAGGTATGAGAATCGAACTTGCGAGGCGGACGTTGCAGTGAGCCAAGATCGCATTCCAACCTGGGTAATAGCGAAACTCTGTCTCAGGGGAAAAAAGAAACACACCTTATATGGAAACACTTTGTTTTAGTACGTTGTAGACATTGCTCTTACCAACTAGGTGGTATATAGTTTGTTGAGGTTTGAAGTTACCTCAGCTAGGGGACATTTCGTTTTTAGTTAGGACAGTTCGGTGTTTTTCAGAATTTTCTTGTCAAATCACTTGAGAAGGGGATTCCAAGATAAAATAAATTTAGGATAAGTGTAGGTAATAGAAAATTACTTTAGGATTTTTCAGAGCCTTTTAATGTGATAATGTACACTGTGAATCTCTGCTGGAATGGAGATTTTTAAGTTTATAGTATTTACTAAAATTACTTCCTCATAAAAACTCCTCTGGTTCATGTCTTAGGCATAGTGTTTGTAGAATGCATTTTGGAAAATTTGGGATGGATTTTTGCAGAGGCAGGCTTGTGTGTCCTTCTCTGCTTCTTCATATAGAAACTGAGAAATGAGAACGACCTCAAAGGGAATAGGAGGGGTGTAAATATTTTTCTCCATATTGTTAGAGGAAAACAGTCTCTTCTGTGTCCCAAATGAACGTGCCTAGGCTAACATTAGTGCTCAGCTCATCTTATAAGGACCTGTGGGAACAGTGGGTATTAGATCTTACAGGTCACAGGGGAGAAAATAGGTTAAGAGAAGTTAGGGAACTTGACCGAGGTTGCGGAGCAAGTCTCAGAACCAAGATAGTAGTCTGACCTCCATGCTGGACAGACTTCCATGCTGTACTGCAAATTAAGGAGCCAGGTCCTGCCTGGCACAGCAACTGCAGGAGAAATCGTTAGTGCCATCTGTTGGTATTTACTTTCTCAGCTATGTTGTTTTGCTGTTGCCTTTTTTTCCTTAGGACTCTGAGTTATCCATATTTGCGGGAATATAACATCTCAGAACTTACTCCAGATAATTAGGTTACCTTTCCTCACAGCCATGTATCTCTCCCTTTGATTTTCATTTTATTTTGTCCCACGATTTTGCCTAAGTATGTGAAAATACTTTAACTTGCTTTCACGGGATTTTACATTTCTCTCCTTTTTTTTTGAGACAGAGTCTCACTCTGTGCGCAGGCTGGAGTGTAGTGGCACAGTCTTGATTCACTGCAACCTCTGCCTCCTGGGTTCAAGCAATTCTTCTGCCTCAACCTCTTGAGTAGCTGAGATTACAGGCACCTGCCACCACACCCAGCTGATTTTTGTATTTTTTAGTAGAGATGGTCGGGGGGCATTGGTTTGCCATGTTGGCCAGGCTGGTATCAAACTCCTGACCTCAGGTGATCCACTCGCCTTGGCATCTCAGAGTGTTGGGATTACAAGTGTGAGCCACCACCCCGTCCTCTCCTAACATTTTAAATGTAGTTTTGTTTTGAGGACATAACCAGAATCTGGCAGTCTTTAAAAATCCTGATACAGAAATTATAGTTGACAGAACTCAATGGCAATGGAATTGGGGTAGAGTTCAAGAACTTGGCATTTTAATCGAATTAAAAGTCAAGGACAAATCTCCATCCTGGTCATTGTCACCATTTGCAGTAGTTGTCATAGTTTTACGTAAATAATATTTTCACTGTTATTAAAATTCAAAGGGAATATAAAACAAACCCATGCTTCAACTGAAATTGGACTTAATATTTTAGAAAATGAAAAAAAAAAAAACTTCTGGAAAAAAATGTTTTCGTATTGGTAATAGGTCCTTGTATAACTGCCAGAAACCGCTTCTATAAATATCACTTGTCATTAATTTCACATACTGTCTCATGCCCTTATTCAATATTGGAGTATCTCTTAAGAACTTTAAAAAGATGTAGAGCCCTCCTGCCAGTTGCCTAATAAAGTTTTTGATGTTTATGCATTAAAATGCTAGAATAGTAGCAAGAACATTCAGTCTGTTACTGATATTTTAATACAACTTTTATTTTCATATTAATATTTACATAAGCAAATATTGCCCTTTGATGCATAAACACTGCAGCAGATTCTTTCAACTAGACCCTGGCTTGGCCATAATAATAAACATTAGACAGTGAGATCTGAATTTAAGATGCTCCTTGCCATCTTCATCTGAGAGGGGGTCATTCAGTAACATGTTATTTAGCATGCCAGTATGCTGGTGAAAAACACAGATGCTGCTGTTCTAATATTAACTCCAAAGTTTCTGAGACACTGAAGTATATCTTACTGTCTCAAGCTTTCAAACTTGGTAGTTCTGAGATGTATGATCTTCAAATCATTCCCAAATTAACCAGGTTTCATTCTCCATGTGAGTCACGCTTGAGAAATATTCTGGGTACTATCTGATGGCTACCTCATATCATACTCTGTTTAGTCATGTTGCTTCGTGTGTCTTTTAGTGGTTGGCAAGTTTTCATATGGCTCTGCTGTTCTTTGATCAGTTGCCCATAAAATCTTGAGTGCTTTCAATCTTAGTGTACTATTAATAAAATAAGCCAAAACAGAAGGTGGAACCAAACAAGGGAGGAAATACTAATCTTGGGTGTTAGCCTTAAGGTTCTATGCATTGCCTCCAAGGGTCTCTAACGTAAAAAGCAGAAGAAATCTGTGCTGTTCCACTGTCTGTGTTCTGGGCAGATAAGTTGAGGGCTGCAGAAATTATGCTGGTTCTTTTCCATTCTCTCAGGGCCTCTTACAGTTAAACTTTGAATTTGAAAACAGACACCATCATGTGGCTATTTCAGGTACACTAGGAATCTCCACTGGGAAATACTGTTTTCCTCCTTAATTGAAAGATAAATTTAAGACGGAATAAAAACACAATGAATTGTCATGTTTATTGAGTAATATAAATATTTGAGGATCTGAAATCAGTGTCAGATGTAATGGAAATTTTTGCTTTACTCCAGTAAATCAGGAGGAAATTCATCATCCAGTTTGGGTGACATAGTACCTAGTTCCAGAAAATCGACACCTCCATCATCTGGTAAGTAGGTGATAAATGCCGAAACATTCATATTGCACTTCATGCCTTCCCCAGTCCTATCCAGTTTTGTGAATTTACATATACACTGAATCACAGTGTCAACCCTACAGAAGTTAGAAGGAATCAGAAGTAAGCATGCCCTTTTGGAGTTACAAACAATATGGGGAAATGTTTTTTTCTGGCTTGAAAAAAAAAAAGTATGTCAAAGTGTTTACATTGCTGTAGATGATCAAAGTGATTAATGTATTTAGCTGTTTTTTGTTTGTTTGTTTGTTTTTGAGACAGAGTCTCGCTCTGTCACCCAGCCTGGAGTGCAGTGGCATGATCTTGGCTCACTGCACCTCTGCCTCTGGGGCTCAAGCAATCCTCCCGCCTCAGATTCTCAAGTAGCTAAGACTACAGGTGCACACTGCTACGCCCAGCTAATTTTTGTATTTTTTGTAGAGACGGAGTTTCATGGTGTTACTCAGGCTGGTCTCAAACTCTTGAGTTCAAGCAATCTACCTGCTTCAGCCTCCCAAAGTGCTGGGTTTACAGGCACGAGCCACTGCACCCAGCCATATTTAACCTTTAATCCCTAGTTCCTGTGATGGTGCTTTTTTATGGGCATTAAATGGTTGAATACTCGCCAACAACCATAGCACAGTGTGAGAGACAGCATTAACATTAAATAGAAAGAAGGATAAAAACTATAGAAAGGTAAAGAACAGAGAATAAAGTGAAGATTGAGGATTGGCCTGTCATGGCTCTGCCAGAAAGGTTCTGTGGAAGATACAGACAGGAAGTATAGAAAAAAGATGAAAATATTCACGGAAAGAGTAACTACTATTTTCTTCATTTTTACTTATTTTTAATTTTTGTATTTTTTGAGACAAAGTCTTGCTCTGTCACCAGGCTGGAGTGCAATGGTGCGATCTTGGCTCACTGCAACCTCTGCCTCCTGGGTTCAAGTGATTCTCCTGCCTCAGCCTCCTGAGTAGCTGGGACTACAGGCACGCGCCACCATGCCCAGCTACTTTTTGTATTTTTAGTAGGGATGGGGTTTCACTATGTTGGCCAGGATGGTCTCCATCTCCTGACCTTGTAATCGCCCACCTTGGCCTCCCAAAGTGCTGGGATTACAGGAGTGAGCCACTGTGCCCTGTTTTCTTTCCGAAGCAGTGGGTTCATCCTAATGTTTGCTTGATAAAATACAGCACACCTAGTTAAATATGAATTTCAGATATACAGTAATTTATTAGTTTAAGTATATATTACATGGGACAGACTTACACTAAAAATTTATGGAACATAATTATACTGAAACATTGTTTTAAATTCAAATTTAACTGTATTTATATTTGCTAAATCTGGAAACTCTCCTATTCTGTGAAGAACTTGGAATTCTATATAAACAGGAGACCAATGATTTGAATGGCAAAAAGCCCATGATCAGTATCTTAGTTTGCTAAGATAATTGTAATTGGGAATCAGAGTAGGATTGTACAGATTGGCTGCAAGGGCATTTCAGCAAAACAATACTGTGTGTGATTTCTAAAAGCTGGAAATGTGAAGAGATAAAAAGCAGAGAGTTGCACAACTGTGGCAAGATCAAGGAACTAGTGACACACGACTGATGTGCTTGAAGCACAAGATTTCCCTGTTACTAATAATCAGCTTCATTCCTGAATGTGGTGGCCTTTAGAGACCAACCAAGGACTCCTTAGCAAAAACTATAGGATTTTTCTTTTTTCTATTTTTTTTTTTTTTTTTTTTTAAGCAAAGGAGTCTCACTGTGTTGCCCAGGCTGGTCTTAAAACTCCTGGGTTCAAGGGTTCCTCCTCCTTAGCTTCCTAAACTGCTGGGATGACAGGCATGAACCACCATGCCCAGCCATCAGCAAACTAAGGTACTGATCATGGGCTTTTTTTTTTTTTTTTTTTTTTGCAATTGAAACAATTGGTCTCCTGTTACATAGAATTCCAAGTTCTACAAAGAATATTGGACTTTTTAAGTAAGCAAAATCTGAGCACAACAAATGAACTGTTTTAGGGAGCAAATTAATTTCAGAAACTACCTACTTATAACTTGCAGCAAGCAATTCTAAGATGCTCAAAATTAAGTAAAAGAGTATGCATGACATGAAAATTAAGGCCCCTGTAGGTATTATGTGAAGCTCATACCTTCCCTTGGTAATTAAGGAGTCCCTGAATGCACAGGGGAAGGGAGGCCTATCCTGCTCCTTCTCAAATGTGTGAAGTTGCAGGGATTACTATATAAACCTTATACTCTTCTTATATATCTTAAAGACGATTTCAGTGATTCCTAGGGACTGCTACTGGGCTCCTAAATGGAAAAAGTCTGTGTCATACTGCAATAAAGCAGCAGTTCTGCCTGGAAATGTCAGCCTCACTTCCTTCTATATACCAGAAACATTCTGCTATTCCCTCCAGCCATGTCGTAGCCCTCTAGCGGTTTTGGCAACACAGATACTCCTTAACTTATGATGGAGTTACACCCCCATAAACCCATCATAAATGGAAAATATCATAACTCAAAATGCACTTAACATGTGAACAGACACAGTAAGCAGTCATAAGTCGAACCATCATGAGTTCAGATGTTCCTTGACTTCCAATGAGGTTATGTCCTGAAAAATTCATAATAAACTTGAATAATCTTAAGTTGAACTATTGTATGTCAAGGACTGTCTGTATAATGAAAGGAGGCACATGCATTTTGAAAAACAAGTTAGTATATATGTAAAACAACACTGCCAGGCACCGTGGATCACGCCTGTAATCCCAGCACTCTGGGAGGCTGAGGCGGTGGATCATGAGGTCAGGAGTTCAAGACCAGCCTGGCCAATATGGCGAAACCCCATCTCGACTAAAAATATAAAAATTAGTCAGGGATGGTGGTGCTTGCTTGTAATCCCAGCTACTTGGGAGGCTGAGGCAGAAGAATCACTTGACCCCAGGAAGCGGAGGTTGCAGCAAGCCGAGATCGTGCCACTGCACTCCAGCGTGGTCAACAGAGTAAGACTTCGTCTCAAAAAAAAAAAAAAAATTCCATTTTGTAGGCAGATGTTTGTCATTACTAAAAGTTTCATGAAGAGTTCAATATTTTAAAAGATGATTTACATGTTCACCGAGGTTTTGTACAGAACACCAACTTTTGAATGACTTTTGTGAATACCAAGAGTAGAACATACTTGTGACCGAGTTAGCTGGAGCTATAACCAACTACAAAATGCGTGTTAAGCATATCATGACTCTGAGATAATTTTCACATCAATGGCTCAGCTGATTGAAAGGAAAACTTCAGAAAGTTCTAGAGAGAAGCTCTCCCAATCCACCTCCAGGGACAACCGCTCAGCTATCAAGTGTGGATGGGCCTGGAATGATCATTTTCATCTTGTTTCCCAGAGGTCCCATCTACTACTGCGTTCACCCATTGCCAGACCAAAGAATATAAGTATCAGCTGGGCACAGTGGCTCACGCCTGTAATCCCAGCAGTTTGGGAGGCTGAGGCGGGCAGATCACAAGGTCAGGAGTTCAAAACCAGCCTGACCCGTATGGTAAAACCCCATCTCTAATAAAAATTTAAAAATTAGCCAGGAGTGGTGGCATGTGCCTGTGGTCCCAGCTGCTCAGGAGGCTAAGGCAGGAGAATCACTTGAACCCAGGAGGTGGAGGTTGCAGTGAGCCAAAATCGTGCCACTGCACTCTAGCCTGGGTGACAGAGCAAGACTGTCTCAAAACAAAAACAATATATAAGTATCTGCCTAAAGTATATATTCCTGGATGCTCTCAAGAACTTGGAAAATTTTCCACTTGACTTCTGGGTCATGGGATCATGACTAGTTGCACAACACATACATCAAACCCGCACACGTGTGTGTACATATGTCTCAACTCCAAGCTCTGCTTAACTTAACCCAAGCTTTTAAGGTTAAACTAAAACTTAAATTTCAAAAAAATTTTCTGGGTGCTGTGGCTCATGCTAGTAATCCCAGCACTTTGGGAGGCTGAGGCAGGAGGATCACTTGAGCCTGGAAGTTCAAGACCAGCCTGAGCAACATAGTGAGACCACTTTTCTACACACACACACACACACACACACACACACACACACACACACACACACATTACTGGGTATGGTGGTATGCGCCTGTAGTCCCAGCTACTTGGGAGGCTGAGGTAGGATGATCACTTGAGTCCCTGAGGTTGAGGCTGCAGTGAGCCATGATTATGTCAGTACACTCCAGCCTGGGCAACAGAAGGAGACTGTCTCAAATAAATAAATAAATTGAAAAAAATGTTTCCAAGGCTCTCTATCAATAATAATAATATATGCATGCTAGTGAGGAAGAATGAGACTTTTCAAATATATCAATGTAGCTCTTTCCAAGTAAATACTAATGTTTGCTAAAGTATGGAAATACAAGTATGAAATTTAAAAAGGGTAACATCTCTCATTAAAAGGAGAACCTTCTGAGTCCAATAAAATACATGTAGCTGAACAGATGTGAAAATGCTTCTTAACTGTCTTGATAAGTTTCTTTAATATGTTTTGGAAGTGACCATGTTTCAGAATTCTTTGTATTTCAGAATGAACACAGATGCTTTTAGACTTGAGTTAACCAAATGTCAGAACTAGTAAATTAGAAAGTTCTCAATTTGGGATTTCCAGCCCTCATGTCCAGATATAGGTAAATGTCAAGCCTGACTCAGGCTATGTGTGTGGAAAGTCAAACACCTGGGCAGTGTTGCAGCCAAAGATGTATGCATTTCCACTCATTGAGTCTTACTGTCAGCCAGGCTGGAGTGCAGTGGCATGATCTTGGCTCACTGCAACCTTCGCCTCCTGAGTTCAAGCAGTTTTCCCACCTCACCCTCCCAAGTAGCTGGGATTACAGGCACCAGCCACCACATCCAGCTAATTTCTATATTTTTAGTAGTGATGGGGTTTTACCATGTCAGCCAGGCTGGTCTCAAACTCCTGACCTCAGGTGACCTGCCTGCCTCGCCTCCCAAAGTAGTGGGATCACAGGCGTGAGCCACCATGCCCAGCCTCACTCTTTGTTTAAAAAACAAAATACATGTGATGATCTCAGCATGCTAGATTCAGTGGGCAAATCACAAAATCCAACTCATGAACTTGAATATCCCAGGGTCCTATAAATTCTGACATCCACCTGGTTATCTTCTTATTTTTCTTTTGCTTTTTTTTAAATTTTTTTTTATTTTTTTTGCTTTTGATTAAATGGAAGTTCAACTCCACCAACTGGGTATATTCAATTTCAGAAAAGCCCTCAAAGGGTAATGCCCCTTGAATGTGGTCTTTATAAGCCCAATAAAAGATCAGAAAGATAAAACATGTGGGAACTTACCACCAGAAAGGAAACTGACTTGATTTTAGTTAGCATGTATTGTAGGAGTAATGAAATACTGACCCAGATCTTGCCCTTCATATCCAGGAAAGTGCTAACAACATGATTCTTGAGTTGAGAGCCGAGGAAAACCATCCCTGAAAGACTTTTGTGAGACTCTTTCCTGGTTTAAGCCATTCAATAAGCCCCATAAGGAAACTTTCCTGTATGAGCAAAGGGTTAGCTATAGGATGGTATCAAAGTTAGCATTGCTTATAACCTTAGGCACATTGTACATTTTCCCTACACACCATATAACATATAACCGTTTAGAACATCAGTATGCATTGATGGGGCAAAGAGATAGACATACTTACTATGTAAGCCTACCTATTACTAGCTTCCTTTGATAAGAAATCATACATCCTGCATTATTCAAGCAATAGCTGATTCTTATAATACTGTACAAACAACAGCAGGAATTCACTCCATCACAGTGAAAAGAATAATTAAATAAGAGATCCTTGTTGGCCGGGCACGGTGGCTTACACCTGTAATTCCAACACTTTGGGTGGCTGAGATGGGTGGATCACGAGGTTGGGAGTTTGAGACCAGCCTGGCCAGCATGGTGAAACCCCATCTCTACTAAAAATACAAAAATTAGCAGGGCGTGGTGGCACATGCCTGTAATCCCAGCTCCTCGGGAGGCTGAGGCAGGAGAATCACTTGAACCCAGGAAGCAGAGATTGCAGTGAACCAAGATCGTGCCATTGCACTCCAGCCTGGGTGATGAGAGCAAGACACTGTTTCAAAAAAAAAAAAAAAAAAAAAAAATCCTAGTTTTCAAAAGGCTGGTTCATTTAATATCCATACCAAGATCAAAACTAAAAAATGTGATGCCTGTCACTCCTTTGAAAAGGTTGGAGGAAGCTGTTGTGAGCAGTTCAGCTTATATATCACAGGGAATGGTGGCTGTATTGTAACACCATGCTGTCTATTATTTCAAAGTAGTAATTTGTTCCTTCCTTCAATCTAAACGTACTGTGGTTTTTGTTAGAGAGCTAACATGTATAATATGATGCTTTCCTGGAGTGAGTAAATTTTTTTCTTCTCCTTGACCAATTCTTAACCATAGAAAGATTTTCTAGCTAGCCCAACTCCACGATGTCATCTTGAATCCTGACACCAGGGACATGACCCTGTTCAAGAAGTGAAGGGAACGGAAAGAGGGTGCCCAGATTGAGAAGGGACTTCACCGGGATGGGCAGTGTGGTATAGGGAGTGTTACAGACTCACACAGGCAGGTGGAGTCGGTCTGAATCCTGACTTTGCCAAGTTTTTGCCAAGATCAAGTCCTTTAAACTTTAAGTTTTTTAATCTTAAGAGCATTGAAGTTGATCTTTAAAATACTTCCAACTCTGATTCTGCAGTTGATAAAATTCTGTAGCTCTTTCAATTGTACTTGGAAGCGTTTTGTAAAATCTGAAGTGAGATTATGCATCTTTTTTTCTTGTAACACGTTTTAAGTGCTCTATTTTCAGGTGGAACAATGGGAAAAGTAAAAGCATGCCATGCGACAAAGCTAAACCCTTCGTTTTACAGATGAGGAAGCCAGCGCACATTCTCTGGGGTCCTTGTGCCCTTCCACTCTGCCACCTCTGTTAAACCCAGTGGCTTTGCATAAGTCACCAGAAGTCTTTCAATGTCATTTTATTAGACTGATTTCATTCGGGTATCTTGGGACCCAGTGTTTTCCCATTAGTCTTCATCAGGCCTAAAATCATTTTAATCCTGTCCTTCCTGGAGCCGACCCTGAATCATTTGCCTTGTGTATGACTGGGTTGATAATTTTCCATTCTCTCTTTCTCTCAAATGTCTGTTGCAATTTTAGTGAAACTTTTCATACTGCCCTTATTTTTACATAAAATCAGCAAAAGGAAGCACATTGTATTATTGGTATAAATGTAATTGCGGTTTCGGACCATGGATTTTAAATCATAACTAGTCTGAAATACATCTTTATTAATCAAAATAGGGACCATTATAATGAACACATTTTTGCCAAAGAGAAATAAGTTTGTTTATTCCTATAGCATAAAAATCCATGCTTTGGGATTCGACAAACTCTTGGAAAGCATTTTCTGCATCCTGCTGATTGTGGAAGCGTTTTCCCTGCAAAAAGTTGTTGAGCTGCTTGAAGAAGTGATAGTCAGTTGGAGAGGTTGGATGAATATGGCAGATGAGGCAACACTTCATAGTCCAATTCATTCGACTTCTGAAGCGCTGGTTGCATGATGTGTGGGCAGGCGTTGTTGTGGAGAAGAACTGGGCCCTTTCTGTTGACCAATGCCGGCTGCAGGAGCTGCAGTTTTTGGTGCATCTCATCAATCTGCTGAGCATACTTCTCAGATGGCATATTTTCGCTGAGATTCAGAGAACTGCAGTGGATCAGACCAGCAGCAGACCACCCAACAGTGACGGTGACCTTTTTTGGTGGAAGTTTGGCTTTGGGAGGTGCTCTGGAGCTCCTCAGTCCATCGGCTGAGCTGGTTGTCACCAGTTGTCCAGTAAAATCCACTTTTCGTTGCACGTCACAATCTGATGGATAAATGGTTCATTGTTGTTACATAGAATAAGAGAAGACGACGCTTCCAAACAATAATTTTTTTTTATTCTCGCTCAGCTCATGAGGTGCCCACTTACTGAGCTTTTTCACCTTTCCAATTTGCTTCAAATGCCGAACCACCGTAGAACGGTCCACATTGAGTTCTTCAGCAACTTCTTGTGTAGTTGTAAGAGAATCAGCTTTGATGATGGCTCCCAAGTGGTCGTTGTCAACCTCCAGTGGCCAGCACGATGCTCCTCGTCTTCACGGCTCATCTCCTTTGCAAAACTTCTTGAACCAGCACCGCACTGCACGTTCAGTAGCAGTTTCTGGGCCAAATGCGCTGCTGATGTTGCAAGTTGTCTCCACTGCTTTACAACCCATTTTGAACTCGAATGAGACAATCACTCAAATTTGCTTTTTGTCTAACATCATTTCCATAGTCTAAAATAAACAAACAGCAAGTAATATCATTAGCAAAAAAGCATAAAGTGTGAAACGCCCACTAAAACGACATATAATGTAACCACATTTAATGTATTCCAATAGCAAACAGCTAATTCCAGCAATGCAAAAACCGCAATTACTTTTGCACTCACATATAATAAAAGTTTTCAAAGTAGTTGCTTGTTATCTCAAAGCTGGTTTAAGATATTATAAGACATGTAGTCAAATGTTCTGTGCTGCACTTTTATACGGTTGATACGGAGAATATCAACATTACATTTGAAACTACAGATATAAAATGTTTCTCTGAAAATATTCAGTTCTAGCATGAAACTGATTAATTCAAGCAGATTATAAGGGTATCTTTCAGTTTTGTTAGATTTGATTACATTGCATTCTTAATATGCTTTACCTTTAAATTTTATTTTCTTTGCATACTGTTTTAAGCATTCGTGATAGTTTTATTTATTTTTTTTACTATGGTTTTATTTGCTTTCATTTTACTTTCTTTATAACCTATTTTTCCTCTCCTGTCCACCTGATGATTTTTGAATTGTTTGTCTGTATATAGCTGTAGACATAGATGCTACTGGCTTAGATGCAGAAGAAAATGATATTCCAGCAAACCACCGCTCCCCTAAACCCAGTGCAAACAGTGTAACGTCACCCCACTCCAAAGAGAAAAGAATGCCCTTCTTTAAGAAGGTAACATGAACTTCCGAGCTCCCATTGTCCACCTGCTGAAGCGCACTGTGTCACATTTCTAGTCCTGTTGACTGTCTGCGTCCTTTGACAAGCCAATAACGTGCATGCTCTGTTATTTGTTTCCTTTCCATGCTGCTGTAGCTAAGCAGAAGCAGAAATCGGTAAGTTTACATTGACATAAGCTGTGTTTATCCTGCCACTGGCATCATTAGCATTAATTCCCACAGTTGTATGAAATACAATCATTTCTGTCCCAAGCAAAGAACCTATCAACAGCTAATTGAGCTCATGCATTTCAAAGCAACTAAATTCAGGGAGTGACCTGTTAAAACACCATTACAGTACTTATCCTTTTTGATGGAATAATATCTACCACCAAAGGAATTTGTTTCAACATTCAAGGATGTCAAACACCGACAGCTCCATATAATGCACCTAAATTGTGCATGCTTATTCTGTCTTTCTTCCAGAAATTTAACTTATGATCAAGCACATTAAAGCAGTTATTAGATTCTGATTAATGGTATCCAGATACATAGCTTGTACTAAAAAAAAAAAAAAAAAAAATTCAAGTTTTAATTTAGTCAGTATTTAAACTTCTAATCCACTAGGTGCAAAATCTGCAGATGAACAAGACCAGTGGAAAACTGCAGGCTTGTTTTGGCGGTTTACTGTGAGTTTTTCCTATTGTCATATATAAATATTCTCCCAATGTTCTTGCCTTCTCCATCAGTCAGATTTTAGCATCTCACCCATTGGACAGTGCAGCCGGTGGTCATGCGTAGAGCCTTTGCCATTGGCCACCCAAGATACTAGAGTGAGGTTCCCTGTCCCCTCAATGGAAACTGTAAGGTATTCTCAAGCTCTCGTCACTTCAGACAAAGCCTGTTTCCTCTTACCCATTTTGTAGCTGTGAAGCATTATTTTTTAAAGACCACTACCATCCCCCACAAATTTCCCTTTTTTTCCTCCTCGTTTACCCATCAGTTTCCACAGCTACCATGCTGTCTTTTAGAGCCATACGAATGTTGCCAAGTCTGGCAAAATCATGGATATATTCTCACACACACATGTGAAGTCAAGTCTTTTCTCTACCCCCAAACTCTCCAAACAAGTATTTTGGTTTGTGGAGGAACTCTAAAGTCATTAATGAGGTGTCAGATACAGAACTGTAAAGTTGGGTTTTTTGCATCAGTTATGATTACTTTAGTAAGGGAAAACTTTAGCACTCTAGGCAAAAATTATAACACTTGGATTTTTGTGTTAACACAGAAAGCCTCAGCTTGATGTTCATCTACAACAGTGGGCCCATCTCTCAGGTCCGATCTTGTTATAGCTAAAGCTTGCGGCCAAGCGACTGACAATATCCATCATTTAGAAGCTTAAAAAATAGACATCGCTAAGATATTCTGGACTTGACAGAGCAGGAACGTGAACTAAAGCCATATTTGTCAGGATAGGTTTTTGAAGTTTTCCTACCTTTAAATTTTAAAACTTTAAAAATGTTGATCACAGTTTTTTCACTAAATAATTCAAGTAGCCAGGGCGTGATGGCTCACACCTGTAATCCCAGCAATTTGGGAGCCTGAGGCAGGTGGATCACCTGAGGTCAGGAGTTTGAGACCAGTCCGGCCAATATGGTGAAACGATGTCTCTGCTAAAAATACAAAACATTAGCCCAGCGTGGTGGCAGACACCTGTAGTCCCCGCTACTTGGGAGGTTGAGACAGAAGAATTGCTTGAACCTGGAAGGTGGAGACTGCAGTGAGCCAAGAGAGTACCACTGCACTCCAGCCTGGGCAACAGAGCTGATGACTCTGTCCCAGAAAAAAAAAAAAAATAGGATTAACAGGAAAGAGTAGATAAAAATGATGGTGTCATTCTCCATAGAGCACAAAGCACCAATATTCCATCAAATAAGGTAATTTCTGTAGCTACCCCATTGATTAAGAAGCTGATTCATTACCAGCAATGGGTGACCCTTCGCTAGTTGGCAGTTATAGATCAAAGGAGCCAAAGACCTATCAAACACTGGGCCACTTCAGAATTAAAGTCTTAAGGTGAAATTTCTTGGTAGCTGTTACTAAAATGCAGGAAATTTACATTACTAATTTCAACAGTGGAAAAGATGTTCTTATACTGCATAGTTATAAGGACTTGGCTTCTAAACATTTTCAGTATGATCCCAGGTGGTATAAATGAAATAATTTAAGAAATATGCTTATGATGCCTTCGGCACTGGTATTCATTCTTCTTATGTTATTGATAATGTGGTTAACGTCAATGTAGAATTCAAAGACGAAACAACCTGAGATTCAATGAGAAGATTGTTTTCTGTGTTTTAGGTTGCATTTAGAGCGGTGCTTGTGTGGCATGTGTGCTGTCACTGTATTATGTTTGTCTTTTTTTTTTTTTTTTCCGTTCAAAAATGTATTCTACTTTGATTGTGTCAATTAAAATTACTTCTGAATGCTAGGTGAAATTTTAGGCAGTGAAATTTGGCAGCACAGTCAGGGTAACATTTTTCTCCCCTCTGATTATATTGTCTCTGACTACTGGTGAAATCTCAGATGGAAGCTTTTGAATTTGAAATGCTTTTTAATTTCCCCCTGAGGCAATCTGAGTTCAAATGAAGCCAGAAAAGTTTGTAATGGGCAATTTTAAGCAACAATAAAATGTTCTTGAGTGACGGGCAGATGCAAAAATGACATTCATATTTGCATATCAGTGTATCGAATTCTTAAAATTGTTTAAAGAACATTTTTCTGTTGGTGTGTGTGATTCTCACGTTATATTTTTTGACACTCCTTAACCAGAAAGATTCATACAGCAATGATTTGCTTATCCCAGTGTCTAAGGCCATATTTCTCTTCTGCATTTTTTTTTAAAGAAGTCATTCTTGGGTCAGTTTAATATTTTATGTTATCAAAAGAGCCAATTTTAATATAAACCAATTAGCGGTTAACTATTTTTTTGAAAAATGTTATTTAACCATTTTATTTGAAGCAATTAAGCTGAAAAGTGTTGATAGTTTTGGAAATTGCTACAAAATGTAGCTCTTCCCCTACTCTTCTTAAAAAGAAATAAATAATTACAGAAAGACATCAATTAGTTATCTAACAGAAACACTACTTAAACTAATTTTGAGAATCATATTAGATATGCACACTGATAATGAACCTTCTGAGTCTACTATAGCATGGTTGAGTATATTATAATCACCTTCCCTTGAAGGCACATAAACCTTACCTTTGAAGTACCCAGGTAAAAAAACTAAAAAATCTGAAAGCATTAATCACTAAGCTGTGAGCAGTAATCTAGCAATCATGATTACGGTTTACTAGAATAAGCATGCATGCTCATTTAAACTCTCACAATAAAATAGAATTTCGATAATAGTGAGAGTTACAATATTTTGAGATTAGGTAAAAAGTATTGGTAGTGAGCGTTAACATATTTTGAAATTAGGTTTTACACAGGTAAGACAAACACCTAACATGCAAAGGTAATGAAATCTTTCTTTTCTCTGTAATTAACCACATGAGGTCTAATGGTTACAGCTCTTTAGAAAATGCAAATGCATCCGAAAAGCAATAATAACTTCTAGTCAAGCCTAGAGCACCTATCTTGCATGAGGCATGTTTCTCTTGGTTCTATCATCTAGTTTTTGTTCAAAAGCAGCATCTCTTGTTTTAGGAACTAATAGGTCAGTAGGATTTCTTGAGATAAGCAAGAAAACTGTAGACAACAGTAAGTGGAAACTTTAGGAAAGTGAACCCACCAATCTTTGAGTTTATGTAGAAAAGAGGCAAGTAGAAAAAAAAAAAAAAAGTGCCTGGAAAACCAGTGCCTCATATTACAGAGTTCAGAAAGAGTACCTTATACATCAAGTATTTATGTTCCACCTGCCTGTGAAGTGTCTAAAGCGTCTCCTCTCTCTGCAGACAGAGCACACTCCTCCGTATGATGTGGTACCTTCCATGCGACCGGTGGTCCTGGTGGGCCCTTCTCTGAAGGGCTACGAGGTGAGGAGCTGCCTTCCACAGAACACTTGACTTCTGCATGCTGAACTCCCTTGTGACTCTGCCTCCTATTCCTGACCCTCCTTCTGAATTCTGCAGCTGAAAGAGCCAAATTTAGAGCTTAAAGAGCTCATAGCAGCAAAGCATGTTGTTCTTCAAGCTGTGGTCTACACTGCTTTGTCCTTTTTCTGTTTTGTTTACCTGGCTGTTACTTTGAAGATTTCTGCTAGTTGCAGTGTACTCAGTCCAAGAAATAGTGTCAAATGGAGACCGATTGAAACCACTTGCAATGTGATTTGCCACTAGAAATCATCATGATAAGTTCAGTTCAATTGTCATTGCATCAGAACTCAGAAGCAGAAAAATGCAGCATCCTCACATACGAAGCTCAGGTTTTCAGGCATTCCTGAGAGAATTAAAACTGTTTTATCATGATTAGTAATGGTTTTTGTCATATCTTAATTTATTCCTTGCTCAATTGCAGGTCACAGATATGATGCAAAAAGCGTTGTTTGATTTTTTAAAACACAGATTTGAAGGACGGTGAGTATTTCAGCATACTGGGTTGTGTGGATTTTGTCTTAAAGATGGCAAAATCCTGGTGGGACAGGCATGTGATTCCAAGAGAAAACCACCCTCTGATGTCTACATGATGATGGGAAATAAGTTTCCCTCAATTTAATCTGATTCAATCAGTATTTGTCATATTGGCTTTGTACATCCCTAACCCTTGATGTCCAGTTCTTATACCCATAAGCTGACCTTGGGCATGACTCCACTGGCCCATCTCACCCTCAGTTCATGGTCAACTGGCCCCCTACTGCTGCCCAGACATCGCACTAAATATCCCTCTTCCATTCACTTTTCCCCAAAGACTTGTGTGCCATCTCCCCCTCCTTTTTTTTTTCTTTTTTCTTTTTTTTTTTTTTTTTAGACGGAGTTTCGCTCTTGTTACCCAGGCTGGAGTGCAATGGCGCGATCTCGGCTCACCGCAACCTCCGCCTCCTGGGTTCAGGCAATTCTCCTGCCTCAGCCTCCCCAGCAGCTGGGATTACAGGCACGCACCACCATGCCCAGCTAATTTTTTGTATTTTTAGTAGAGACGGGGTTTCACCATGTTGACCAGGATGGTCTCGATCTCTTGACCTCATGATCCACCCGCCTCGGCCTCCCAAAGTGCTGGGATTACAAGCGTGACCCACCCCGCCCGGCCCATCGCCCCCTCCTTAAGCCTCTGATAACCCTCTCTCATCTCACGCTCCCCCAGTGAACTTGCTTCCCTTTGTCACTGGAAAAAATAGAGGCAAATGGAGAATATCCAGGCATTTCCATAACCCCGCCTGTGGAGCTGAGTGTTTGCCTGGGTGCTCTGCTTTATCTCCCATTGCTATGTTCCTAGCAAGGGCCAACCCACCCATGTGGGCACTGGCTCTCACTCCCCATCCCTGCTCTGCCAGAAGTATCCACACACAGCAGTAATTATCCTTTGCCCCCTCCTCATCAGTATTTGCCATTCTAATGGAAACTCCATCAGCATGTAAAAATGCTACTTCCCCTCATATGTCACCTCATATTCCTCTAGGTATCTCATTTATCTTTTCTTTACAAGAAGATTCCTTAAAATAATTGAGTTTACTTGCTTTCCTTCCACTTTCTTGAGCCCACCCCAGTTATGTTTTCACCCACACCACTCAACTAAACTAGTCATGTCAAGATCACCAATGACCTCCACACTGCTAATCCGGGGATAAATTTTCAGCTCCAATCTTACTTGACCATGAGCAATAGTTGACGTGGTGGATTACTCCATCTTCTCTGAAGAACTTTATTTGCTTGGTTTCTGGAAGCGCACTTTTCTGGGTTTCCTTCTATTACACGGACTGCTCCATTGTCTCCTTTGCTGATTCTTCCTCATCAACTGGAAATCTTGGACAGCACAGGGCTAAGCTCTTTAATGTCTTTTATCTACATTCCTTAAGTGATTTCATTCAGTGTCAGATTTTTAAATTCTAGTCCTTTGCCAGTCTTTCCTCTAAATTCTAGACCCATGTATCCAACTGCCTATTCAGTAACACTACTAAGATGTCTAATGGACTTTACCAACATAACCTCCCCCAAAACCTGCTCCTCCCATGGTCTTCCCTATCTCAATTAGTGGCTTCTTCGTCTTTCACTCTGTATTTACAGCCACTCCTCATCACTCGCGTTAATGCCTGGGCTCAGCCTCTTGTCGGATCAGCAGTGGCATTAGATTCTCATAGGAGTACAAACCCTACTGTGAACTGTGCATGCACATTATCTGGGTTACAAGCTCCTCATGAGAGTCTAAGGCCTGGTTATCTGTCACTGTCTCCCATTACCCCCAGCAGGGACCCTCTAGTTGCAGGAAAACAAGCTCCCACTGATTGTACATATGGTGAGCTGTATAATAATTTCATTATATATTCCAGTGTCTTAATAATAGAAACAACGTGCATAATAAGTGTAATGTGCTTGAATCATCCCAGAACCATCTCCCCACTCCCGCCGAACCGGTCCATGGAAAAATTGTCTTTCACAAGAGTGGTTCCTGGTGCCAAAACGGTTGGGGACTGCTGTAATAGATAGTATTTGTTGGTTTCAGGATTCTTTTAGATTTCTTAATATAGTACTTTGTTTCTAGACCACACCTATTACTACAACCATTTTTAATTTATATTGAATTTTAGCAGGGAGGCAAGGGCAGGAGGGAAACCTTTATAGGAGGACAAGTATTGTTAGTAAGTGATCAAGCAATCTGGGTGTGGTGGCTCATGCCTATAATTCCAGCACTTTGGGAGGGCAAGGTGAGCGGATCACGAGGTCAGGAGTTCGAGATCAGCCTGGCCAACATGGTGAAACCCTGTCTCTATTAAAAATAGCAAAATTAGCTGGGCATGGTGGTGGGCACCTATGGTTCCAGCAACTCAGAAGGCTGAGGCAGGAGAATAACTTGAACCCGGGAGGCAGAGGTTGCGGTGAGCCGAGATCCCACTGTACTCCAGCCTGGGCGACAGAGTGGGACTTGTCTCAAAAAAAAAAAAAAAGAAAAAAAAAAATTAGTGATCAGGCAAAGGACTGAAAGGAGAGAATGAGGAAAACAAAAACTATTTTAAGTTTCAAGGTATGAAAAGACTTTATGATCAAGGTCTTTATAACCAAATACCCCTAGTTAGATTTTTTTAATTTTCTATAACTTTACAAAATATTTTTTAGTTTGTGCCAGGAAAACAGAATCTTTAGCTTGGACCAAGGCTCCTAGGCACTGGCCAAGTATAAAAGGCATACCTCTAATCTGCTCCATTTAGCTTGTGTTTTTTTATTCTTGGCTCTGTCATTTATCATGAGTTGGAATTGTGAACACTCAAAAAATTCTGCTAACAAAGGCACGGTGTTCTCCATGCCTGAGTTAACCCCTTTCCTAAATGTCAAATATGGGGAGATGGGATGGACTTTCCTGGATTACTACTTATATTTAAACCTGAGTCAGTTTTGAATTTGGAAGACATATTCCAGCCAGAAACGGTATATCTTGGACCCATGTTCAAGTGTATCAGCCACCCAAATTGGTTTTATTTAAGAAACAGATAAACAAAATAACTTAATGTATCTATTATTTCTAGCCAGAAGTAATTTCCTTATGGTTTAATACACTTGCCTTGGCTCATCTTGGCTTACAGAGCTGGGGTTCAATTTTCTAGACCTGTTGTCACCAATTAATAGTCCTCAGAGGAAGAAACAGAGTCCATAGGCAGAATTTAAAAGCCATGTACAAATTTAACACTTTTACCCATGGCAAGACATCTACAGTAACTGAATTATTGAATGTTTTTGCTTTTGGCAAGACAAGACAGCAGTAGAAGATGAAAAGTCATCAAAAGCATCAGGTTGTATGTACACATGACATTCTAAAAAAGAACAATGAATTAATTATTCCTTAATCATCTGTTAAATAAGCTAAATTTATTTTTCAAAAAGTTTAAGCCCAAGAGGAGAAAATATGAAAGGAAATGTTAGTTATGAAAAAGCTTCTAGGTAGTCAAGAATTCCTTTTCTTTTCTGAAACCCACTTAAGTTCATTTGCAGAAGTACTGGGGGGGCTGTCAGAATCACGATTCTGGATGTTAAGTAGCATCAGTGTGTCAGATCAAAGAAATAAATCATCCTCCTCCTCCTGTTGTGTGCAATAAAGTAGCCCATTTAAAACTGGATTCACAGTACCCAATCGTGTCATGTAAATAGAGCAATCTTCAGATTCACCTTGTAGAATGGTGACAGGTAAATTAACAAGGAAATTGAGAACAAGAAGGAAAGCTACTACCTGGGATAAATTCAGGTTGCTTCCTCCCTCTGCCCTCCCCACCCCACCCCGCCCTTCAGCGACTTTCAAAATGTCAGCAGTCTGTCCTGAAGTGTTTGGAATGCATACTGAATTGCTATAGGGATAAATATACCATTGCCAGAATCTTCTGCAGGACAATCTTATTAGAAATCAAAAATTCCTGGGCTGGGCGCAGTGGCTCACACCAGCACTTTGGGAGGCTGAAGCAGGCACATCACTTGATGCCAGGAGTTTAAGACAAGCCTGGCCAACATGGTGAAACCTGTCTCTACTAAAAGTACAAAAATTAGCTGGGCACAGTGGTGGGCACCTGTAATCCTAGCTACTCAGGAGGCTGAGGCAGGAGAATCGCCTGAACCCAGGAGGCAGAGGTTGCAGTGAGCCAAGGTTATGCCATTGCACTGCAGCCTGGATGACAGAGTGAGAGAATCTGTCCATAAAAAAAAATAAAAATTAAAAAAATAAAAAAGTAAGCAAATATAAGAAGTTGTTTATCTCATGGAAACTACGAGAAAAATATACCAGAAAAATACACTGGGCTGGGTGCAGTGGTTCACACGTGTAGTCCCAGCACTTTAGGGGGACTGCTTGAGCTCAGAAGTTTGAGACCGGCCTGGGCAACATAGTGAGACCCTGTTTCTACTTAAAAAAAAAAATTAGCTGGTTGCGGTGGCATGCACCTGTCATCCCAGCTACTTGGGAGGCTGAGCCAGTGGGGATCACTTGAGCCTAGTAGGTTGATGCTGCAGTGAGCTATAATCACACCCCTGTACTCCAGCCTGGGTGACAGAATGAGACGATGTCTCCAAAAAAGAAAAAAAGCACATTATGTGACATAGTTCATTTGATGATTATGTACATAGTTACAATAAATATTAAACATGGGGCCAGCCAAAATTATAGTTTGTCTATCTGAATCTCTCTGGGATGTTCTAGCCTGCTGCAGTCTGGACCATTTCTGTGTTGGGTGTCATTCTGGAACATTCCTTGTTATTATCCCTGGGATTCTCTTCACCTTCCTTTCAGGCTGAAGCTCCTCTTTCCTAGAGGCGTTGATTTCTTTCAAGCTTTACTGTCATTTCAGTCAAAAAAACCTTCTCCAGTCATTTCCCTGGGAAGAGTATATACACTTTTTTCTCAATAGCCTGCATGTTTACAAACCTTTCTGTTTAATTGCTAGTTTAAATGGTTATGGAATTCTGATTGAAATAGTTTTCCCTCCAAATTTTAAAGGCTTCTTGCTCCATTATCTTCTGGCCTCCACTGTTGCTTTGAGAAGTACAAAGCATTCTAGTGCTTGATGCTTTGAGACATGTTTTTTCCTCCGAAAGCTTGTAGGTTTCTCTTTGTCCCCAGCGTGATGAAATTTATAAAAATATGTCTTGGTGTGGATCTTTCAACTCTTGTGCTAGACCTTTTCAGTTTGAAAAATTAGACCCTTAATTCTGTGATGACTTCTTTATTTCCTTTCCTCTGTCTTCTTTATCTTTTTCTGAACTCTTGTAATTTGGAATTTGGACCTCTTGTTATTCTCTACTTTTCTTACCTTTCTTCTCTTATCTTCCAGCTGTCTTTTTTGTTGTATCCTTTAGAGATGTTACCTTTCTTTTAACCCTTCTTTTCATTTTTTAAATTTCTATTATCATGTTTTTATTTTCAAAAGCTCTTACTTTTAAATAGAAGTTTGTTCTAGTTTCATCGACAAAACCATCTCTTAGCTTTTAACTATGAATAATTTTCACAGTTGATTTTTGTTTGTTTTGGTCTGTCACGTTAGAGGTTTTCTGAAGATGCCTGACAAACAGTCCTGTGCTCAAAATTTAAAGTAAGGCAGAAAATAATTACTCAGAAGCTCTGTGCTCATAGGCGGGGCTTGTCAACTTTGTGCTTCTGTGAATGGCAATCTTGCTGGACAATTTACATAGGAAACCTCCAATATCATTATCTTTGGGTCTTTACGCTTTGGCAGTCAGATTCCCCAGAGACGAATCTTCCATTCTGACCCCTGAGGATATAAATATAAGCCAGGCTACCAAAATTCTACAATGAGGAAGAGGGTTGAAGATTCAGCATTCAGAATCTTTTCTTTTTCGTCCAGTATTCTCTGCCCCTGGTGTGTCTAGGGTCCCCTGGTCAGAGGCCGTCTTGTATTGTCTGCAAGATAACAAACGAAGGTCTTTTACCACACAGGAAAAGAACTGTCACCTGGCCATTGACGTTGTGAAGCTGCAGTGGAGGGCTCTGAAGGAAACAGACTTTTTAACCAAACCTTTTCTTTTTGCCCCACCTTCATTCACTACCTTTTTTTTTTTTTTTTTTTTTTTTGGAGGGTTTTTTTCTTTTTTTTTCCAGTTTGGGGTTCAAGAGGGTGGTCTGGCTCTCTTCAAGCTTACA